ACTATATATCGGATCTTGGTTCGTACTTTATATCATATGTTCTTAACTTCAAGGTCCACTTTGCCATACTTTCTGACATTTTTGGTTTTCTCATAACATTCTTAGTGGGATAGTTAGTTCTTACAATTATAGGATGTGTTTCAAAATAATGTCTAATTTAGTAGAAGCTATTACTAATGCAAGTATAAGTTTTTCAAGGTGGGAATACCTGGTCTCGGGATCCAAGAAACTTTTACTTACATAGTAGATGGGATGTTGGTCCCCATTGAGATCCTTAGCTAATATTGCACTTACCGTGTTTGAGGATACTGAGAGGTAAAGAAGGAATGGTTCTCAGTCTAATGGTTTTACCAATAGCAGTGATGAACTCAAATATCTTTTAAGTTCCTGGAAAGCATCTTCATGTTCGTGGTTCCACTCGAATCTTTTGTTCTTCTTCAAGATGTCGTAAAAAGGCTTGCATCATTCTGAGGATCTTAAGATGAACCTGTTTAGGGTTGCCACTCTTCCTGTTAGTCTATGAATATATTTTTTCGAGGATGGTGATTTTAGATCAAGGATGGTCTTGATTTTCTCCGGGCTCGCCTCGATTCCTCTTTTGGTTACCATGTATTCCAGGAACTTACCCGATCTCATCCCAAAGTGGCACTTGGAGGGATTCAGCTTCATGTTATATTGGTCTAGGATGTCGAAGGCTTCTTCAAGATCCTTGAGCTGATACTCAGCTTTTTTGGACTTGACCACCATGTCATCGATGTAAACTTCCATGGTATCCCCTAGTTTCTCTTTGAACATCTTGTTGACCAGTCTTTGGTACGTTGCACCTATATTTTTATGACCGAATGGCATGATGGTGTAACAGTAGATACCTGTTGGAGTTATAAACGTCGTGTCCTCTTGGTCAGAAGGTTCCATCTGGATCTGTTGGAATCCTACTGATGCGTCCATGAATGTTAGTAATTCATGACCTGTTGTTGAGTCTATCATGGAGTCTATGTGTGGTAGAGGGAAAAGATCCTTGGGACAAGCCTTGTTAAGATTCGTGTAATCTACACACACTCTCCATTTACCATTCTTCTTTTATACCAAGACCACATTAGCTAGCCATCTTGGGAATTTCACATCCTTGATCATGCCAGTTTTGAGAAGATTTTCTACTTCTTCTTGTATAACTTGGTTTCTGTGAAAATTTCCGTCTCTTTTGGTGTATCGGCATGGAAGATGGATCAATGATAAGTTTATGGGTTATTATGTTTTTGTCAATACCTATCATGTCCTCATGCTTCCATGCAAATGTCTTGCTTCTAGCCTTGAGGAACTTTATGAGGTCATGTTCGACTTGTTCAGGCACTGAGGATCCTATGAGAACTTTGGCTTCAGGATCCTCAAGGTTCAAGGGCACTTCTTTTATATCTTTCTCTCTTGATTCTAGCACGTCTCGTGCCCCTACCTTAATTGCTATTCTTATCGTGGTATCATTGAAGACTTCATCGAAGTCTTGTAGCATTCCTTGGATTCTCGTTGGTCTCCTATGATCTTCACTGCCCCCCATGGGGTGAACATCTTTATGCATTGATGATACATTGATGGAACGGACTTCATTTCATGGATCTATGGTCTACTTAGTATGACATTATAAGAGGATAATGTATCAATGACACAAAAACGTTGTACAAAGTTTACCCCCTCTTGTAGATTGGTAGCTTTATCTCGTCGATGGTGTGCTTGGTTTCGCCGCTGAATTCGATCAGCACTGAGGATCTTTTAACTATTTCAGACTCCGGGATGTTCATTCTTTTCAATGCGTCCAAGAGTATGATGTTAACCGACGATCCTCCATCAACAAGGATCCTTCTGACGAAATGGTTGGTGATGTAGAGAGTAATCACTAATCCGTCATGGTGAGGATCCTGGATGTCTTGTCTATCCGCTTCGTCGATGGTGATCTCCTTTTTGTTTGTGATCAATGTGTTCTTCCGTGGTCCTTTTTCCTTCTCCATTTTGGATACCTTGGCGTGCCTTTTTGTTGCAGAGTAAGAGGTACCACAAATGTCAAATCCTCCAGAGATCACATTGATTACCTTGGCGCCGGTACGGGGGATCCTGGTCTGTCAAGGATCTTATGAGGATCCTGGTCTTTTTCTTTGGATCTCTCATTTCCTCTTCCAAATATTTTTTTGAGGTATCCTTTGCCTAGGAGATAGTTGATCTCCTTCCAAAGAGCTATACAATCCTACGTGATTTGACCAAAGTCTTCGTGATATGCGCACCATTTGGACTTGTTTTTCCAAGCGGTGGATTTTTTTCCTTTTCTTTGCCATCTTGCTTTGTCTCCAAGATCCTGAATAGCAAATATTACACATGAAATCTCCACAGAAAAACAATAGTCGGTAATCGTAGGAAAATCTTCTTCCTCTCCCTCATCTTCAAGGGTATTAACCTCGTGATGTTCAGGTTTGGAATAAGATTTTAATGTATAGGATCTTTGGGCTGAGGAATCGGCCTTCCTGTTGGGGTGATCATAAGAGCTTGGTGGGTTGCTCCTCTTTTGGATCTCCTTGTCTTCTACGAGCCTAATGAACCTTAGTGCTCTACTTCTGACTTCGTCCATTCTCTTGCATGGAGTCATTACGAGGTCTTCATAGAAGGGAGAATCCTTCTTTAAGCCCATTTTTAAGGCTTCAACTGCAGTTGTCATGTCGATATTGGGGATACTTAGAGCTTCCATGCCAAACCTGTTCACATAAGTCCTAAGGGATTCCTTAGGATCCTGAACCACCCGATAGAGATCGCTAGTGATCTTTTCGAATGTTCTGCTACAAGAAAATTGATTGTTAAGTAAATTAATCAAATGATCAAATGATGTAATCGAATAAGGAGGAACGTTAAGAAGCCATTTTAGAGCTGATCCTGTGAGAGTGGAACCAAGCAAGCTTCTTTCAAGTGAGTGCCACGTGCTCGTCAGGATCTGTAGTTTTGTCGTAAGGCTTCATGTTGGGGGTCTGAAAGCGCTTCCGGACTTCGGTATCAGCTATTTCTAGAACGAATCTGGAGATCATATGGCTCGTGGGGGATACTTCCCGTACATGTTGAAGTACTCTAGGTACGCTTGAGATCATTTGTCTTAGTTGTTGTAGTTCCTTAGCCATGATCGGGCTTAATCTTGTATCAAGATCTATTGAGTTAGTAGTAAGGATATTATTATTGACGGGGTTACCAGGATCCTTGTTATCGGGAGTAACAAATGTTTCGTTGGGATCTAGAGTTGTACGGGCTTGGTTTCTCGGAGTCGCGCCCCAAGAGGGAACAAATGTCGGTATTGAGAATCCTATCTTGTGACAAACCGTTGAGGATCCCAGGTTATCAAAGTTCAGGATCTTCGGCCGTAAGATTGAGGGCGCTGCCTCCTGAGGCTTGTGGTTTTCTGTCCTCATTCTTTCCACTTCCTTGGGAATTGTCTTGTTATCCTCCTGCTGCTGGGAGACTTGTCATTCTAGTCTCTTTATTATAGCAAAGATTTCGTTGTTAGAAATCAACACCGAAGGATCCTGGAGTCTTGGGGTAACGACCGGACAGGTGCTTTTATTTGGTGTTACTGGGACGTTTTTAGGAGCTCCAGTCGGCGGTGGTGGAAGGTTTATGGAGGAAATGGGAGGAATAGAGGAATAGGATAGAGTCGATTGAGTAGACATGGTTTTTTGAAGGATTTTGAATACCACGACCCCACGGTGGGCACCAAATTGTTTTGGTCAAAAAATGAACAAACACGGATCTACCAAAGTGTATGAGAGGCTGTGATGTTCAGAATAATACAAGTATAAAATGTTGATCAAAGTGACACAAGTTGTTTACAAGGAAAACCCTTGATCCTTGCTAGGATCTCCGACATAAAACCTTGGGAGGTGATAATGATCAACTGCCTTGATGATTTTATTTATAAAAATGTCGATTACAGAGAAAATGTAAAGAGTATAAGTACAAGTGTTGTTGTTCTGCTAAGTCTCGTGTGTAGTGTAATGAGTACAAGTGATTTTTATAGTCTAAAGCTATTAATAAGAACTCCGAGAATTTGTGGGTCCTCCGAGATCAACTTATAGACGTTATTTGACTTGGTCTTTTGCATGGTTCTGACAACTATTCGTTGAGAATAAATCTTTAACCGATTATTTCTGCACATGTGATACAGATAACAAAGTATATAACCATTATAAATATTTGGAAAATAATAAGTAGGATCCTGAAGTATGTTTGATATCCTGAGGTTTGAGGATCCTAATCGTAGTTATGAGATTCTAGCCCTATCAACTGTTACCCATTATTTTATTCAATTTACATAATCCGAGCCGAGTCGAATCTAGCTCACAAGCTTAATCCTACTACTATTACAATGTTTATCAAATTTTATTTTTGTAACTAAATGAGTCAAGTCAATCCAAGCTCAAAAGTGTCGATTACTTTATCGAGCTCGAACCTGAGTTTGAAAGTAAGGTTTGAGTCGAGTTTCAAGCTCAGGTTTTTTAGTCGAGTACAGTTTCGAGTTTGGCAGTAGTCAAATCGACTTGGTTCGATTACACACTTAAATACTGCTATCAATTGTTTTTTAAATTACCATTTTATAAAAATTTCAATTAATATTGATAGCAATATTATACAATATTGGTCTCATTTTGAACGACCAACATCTTTTTAAAGATATGAGTTATTTTTTATTATTATTTTATAGTTTGTTATATAATTTTATTTATTTAATCAAATATATTAAAAATACCATAAGGTAAAAAACAAAAATTAAAAAAAAAAATAGAAAAAAGGAGAAACGTGTAAGAATTGATATTAAATGAGGAGACATCAATGTAAATAATAATTGAACTGCTGTTCAGTGATGGGTGGCCACCATTCCACATCAGAGCATCCTAGGAGGGTGTCCTGTTCACTTGATGACTGGTCGCTGCTAAACACCAATATAACTTATAATGAGCTTCTAAGCGAACTCGGTTCTCTATATATTCACAGAAAGGCTGCTACACTATAACCATACTTGATCACGAATATAAAAAACAATGTCTTCTTCAGAGGTAGACCTAGAAAAATGTCGAATTCCACTAGCGGAGATCACTCGGGCCACAAAAAATTTCAGTTCAGACACTCTGGTCGGAGATGGTGGATTTGGTATGGTCTACAGAGGCCAACTCTCTAACCACTGGAAAAAACAGCTAGTAGCCATCAAACGCCTTGATCCTAATGGTTATCAAGGAACCAAGGAGTTCCATAATGAAGTCAAGTTGGTTTCAGGATTCAACCATCCAAACATCATCCCTTTCGTTGGCTACTGTGATGATGAAGATGAGAAAATTATAGTTTACAAGTATGCTACTAACAGATGCCTTGATTATCACCTCCGAGACCCAGATAAGAGGCGTTGCCTAACATGGGAACAACGCCTGAAGATATGCTTAGGGGCAGCATATGGACTAAAGTACCTTCACTCGGATGTTGGGGACGACAGCAGAGTAATTCATAGAGATTTGAAGAGCGCAAATATTTTGTTAGATGATAATCTGGAAGCCAAAATATGTGATTTTGGTTTGTCAAGATTAAGTCCAAGAAATCAGCAAGATACCCATGTCTGTACAAGAGCTGCTGGTACAAGGTTTTACATCGATCCGAGTTACATGGAAAGAGGTAGGCTCTCTAAAGAGTCAGACATATACTCATTTGGAGTGGTAATGTTTGAAATGTCAAGTGGAATATTGGCTTATAATGCAAGGCACTTTGAAGATAAGGAACTGTATCTGATCGACCTCGTCCGAAGCTACTATGACGACCATAAACTCGTTGATGGACTTGACAAGTTAATAGATACCACTATCAAAGATCTGATTCATATGAGATCTTTTGATAAATTTAATGAAATTGCACATGAGTGCATTAACTTTGATTTTAGGAAACGCCCGACGGTTGATAGGATCATCAAGACTATTGACGAAGCATTGAATATTCAAGTAAGTCTTTTGTTTCATAGTATTTTTTAGGAAACGTATTTTTATAGCAAGAATGAAAACTTTAATGCTTATCATATATGACATAATATTCCATTTTTGTATTTATAATCTTTTTTTTTATGACAATACATTCTCGAAACCAAAACCTCTTATCTTTCCTCCATAAACACATTCTGGCAACATGTATTCAGGTAAATTCAATTTCCATTTTTTTATAAACATTTGAGAGAGGCTCCAGCCTGGATCCATGAATAAGTACAAACCAGTGAACCCAAAAAGTTGGTCATGAATTAAAAAAGGGTTGTTGCTATTACCAAGCATAGTGTGTTGACTTATTATTAGCCACTAACATTTTTTCAATTACTAGATAAAGCAAAAGACTATAAACTTAGGAAAAACTTTAACAAAAACTACTATATTTATCATTTTTTTCAAGAAAATAAATGTCAATCGTGAGGTTGTTGAGGAGGATATCTATGCGATTTTCTCAATTTTTAACATTCATGGGAACCAATATTCTTTTTATTGTTTTCCACTGCAGCTTAGTGGATTAGACTCCGCGGCATATTCTGAGGCCTTTTGGAAAGGGCTCCTGCCACCGGATTACCAGGAAATTATTGAAAGGGCGGTTTCTCCGCTGGGTTTTGCCTCTAAAAAGGAACTCTACTTCTGCCTATCGGACTCACATATCCTCCTTGATCGAGGCTACCTGGTAAATCTATCATCCTTGTGATACCATGTTTCCTACATCCTTGTTAAATACGTCTATATAACCATTGGGAACTTTTAAATCGAATGGTACTATGCAAGATGAGGGGAATGTTTTCTTGGGTATAATTGTTAAAAAATGCTTCTACTAACTAAGATTTGGTCTCACATAATCCCATAAACAGAGCTTCCAGCTAGATATGGAAACCGGGAAAAAGTCCTATATGTTAGGCGCAAAGGAGCTCTTAATTGATTGGCAAGATGAACCTCGGTACTGGGAATGGGGACATACACTTAAATCAAGGTCTCTTTTGTCCCTTGTAAGATCATTTCTATACAATAACAAACACATATTAACCTTAACAAGCTAAACTATATATATATATATATATATATATATATATATATTGTGTAGGTTTTCAGAGGTTTGTATACTTAAAAGTGTATGCTGGCTTAGCATTCATGGCAAAATAGCATCTGTAATGTTGTCACCATACACTACATATGTAGCATACCTTGTCTTTCGAACTACTAGCAATTCCGAAGGACTTTCTGTGCCGGCTAAAACAATGGTAAGGTTTGGTGGAATAAAAATGGAGACCGAAAATGTGTATCTCAAAAGACCAGAGGCTAGTGAAAAATGGCAAGAAAATGATGTGTTTCCTTTTAGGAGAAAGGATGGGTGGATGGAGATCAAGTTGGGAGAATTTGAGTACAATGAAGGAGATGTTGGTGAAATTGAGATGGCGTTTGAGGAGGTTAAGCGTTTAAACTGGAAGCATGGTCTTATCGTGGAGGGCATTGAGCTTCGGCCTAAAACTACTGATCAATATTCACCATCTGTAAAACATACATATACACACAAGCAAAGGGAGAGAAAGATGATCAACAAATCAACCAGTCTCTCAAGTCTCCCAGTGTTGCCAAAAGGCTGTCTGTCGAGCGTACTATCACTAACTTCTGCACGGAAAGTATTACGGAAATGTACGACAACAATAAAAATAAGAAATTGATGTGACATGTGTTTAATACACTGTTCTTAAATCAAATTTGACTGCAATTAGACGTTTGTTTTTCAGGATACAACAACTAAAAGCAGTACTTCTTGACCACCCGAACTTAGCAAAGCCGGAATTATACCTTGAACTTATCAAGAAAATGCAAAAAACAATAAAAATAAATAAATAAAAGATGAGATGTTTCTTTTGTATGTTGTCTCTCTCAATCTATAGACGGCAATATGAATACTAAGACACAACAATAACCGACATTTTGTAATAAATATAGTAACGGACAAAATTGATGGATTTCATTAACGATGAAATCAACAATATGTGATTAATATTGTGTTTAATGCAGGTTTTGTAACTGATAAATTTCCAGTTAAAAAAAATATTGGCTAAAAAGCCCATCTACTTTTCTAGTCGACCGGTGGCGGTTATATGTAGTGGTGGTTATATCTACAGGACACGTTCATACATAAGTTTAGTGAAATCAGCCAAATTTTCTTTGCATTAATTTCCACTCCCATGCATGAGAGAGAGAGAGAGAGAGAGAGAGAGAGAGAGAGAGAGAGAGAGAGAGAGAGAGAGAGAGAGAGAGAGAGAGAGAGAGAGAGAGAGAGAGATGATTCCATTAGTCTAACAAGGCTTAAAAGTCTTTCTACTTATAAATATACTTCCTTTTCCTTCTCCTACTATAGTCTATATGAGATGGCTAAAAACTCACTTAACCACTTTTGTTATTCATCCAACTACCTAGTTCTAATGATTACTTCATTCTTCTTTGTAAGTTCTTTTTGGATGTGTGATATACTATTGTATCATGGAGGAGAACAAAATATATAACTATTTTTCCATTTAAATAATATTTAGGGTTTGAAATATCATGTGGTTTTATATACTAAATATTTATATAAGTTTTAAATTTATAAAACTGGTTTATTCTCAACCGGACTAAAACACATAGTAACTTAGTAAGCAGTGTACCTAATCGTATAACGATATATATGTGGTAAAACCAGGTATACACTAATCGTATAACGATATATATGTGGTAAAACCAGGTATCGAACACTAAGGAAACAAGTATTATTTTATTTAGATAGTAAAGCAATTAATTAAACTAGAAACAAGAAAGTAAAAAAGGGGGTTTTGTTTAAAATAAATTAAACCCGAATTACCAACTAAACAAAAGCAATCAAAAGCAAAGAACGTGATTTAAACTGTAGATTTAAAGTACTTCCATTTAGATTATGAATCCCTTTATTTACCTATGGACACAGTAAGAAGTGTATATAATCGTGTAGGAGTATATATGTGGTAAAACTAGGTATCGAACATTAGGGGAATAAGTATGATTTTATTTAGATAACAAAGCAATTAATTAAACTAGAAACACGAAAGTAAAAAAGGAGGTTTTGTTTAAAATAAATTAAACTTGAATTATCAACTAAGCAAAAGTAGTCGAAAGCAAATAACGTGATTTAAATAATAGTTTTAAAGTACTTCCATTTAGATTTTGAATCCCCTTAATTACATATAGTTGATTTTCTTATAAGTGCAATGGATTTGACAAGTTAATTACGAATGCTTTTAATGATTGGTTATATTGGTCCAATTAATGAACACAAATAATTATAAAGCAACTAGCATAATGATTATGAAATTAGCTAACTAAATAAATAATTAAATATTCGAATTATAAACGAATTGATCTATTGATTAATCTCAATGGTCATGAAAATCAATTGAAGCATAACATGGATATCTAATACTCTCTTACACATTTAAGTTCACAATTATATCACCTAACCCTATGATTTGGTTCATCTCTAATCCTAACAGTTATCGACATAAACTAATTAAGATACAAGTTAATATAATTATATTGGTCCTCTAGACTATATAAAAAATCATTTTTAGGTAATAAAAATTAAAACTTCAATACATAAGATAAAGCAATCAATCAAACATAATAAAGAATCAAACTTTATAAATCCAACCAACAAATCAAAACATAGTATTTAGGGTTCATCTACATATAAGGAGAAGCAAAAGGGTGTTAGTTCATTATTATAGCTATAAAACATAAAATAATCAAAGAATATTGTTCAACATGATGTCTAAAACAAACCTAATGATTAATCAATGTTTCCAAGCTTCGGTATTCAACACAATACTCCAATAATGTTCTTTAGCTTTGAAATCTACTTAAAAAGGGTTATGGATGAATATGTTCTCGTAGTTGTGAATTGAATTCTCTAATATATTGATTTGGATAGAAAATTCTCATATATAGAGAATCAGATGTGTAGTGTCTTGAGCCATTTTTGTGCATTTTTGGTGGTTGTGAAGCTTGAGAAGGAAGAAGGAACTTGGGAGTTCAAGTTGAAGCTAGTAGATCCAGAGGTTGTGTTCCATTTCCAGCTCATTTGAGGTAAAAAGCTTCAACCTTGACTTTCCATTTGTTAGATCCTCGTTAGGGCTTGAATCTTGTCATTTTTGGGGCATTTCTAAGTTATCTTCGGGTTTGGGTCATTATGTAGAGGAATAACTTCAGATCTGGAACCTAGGAGGGTTCTCATGGCATAAAGGTGCCAACTTTACTGCTATGAGAGCCTCATGCATCTTGAAGACTCCATTTTAGGGCCTTTTGAGCTAAATGGCCCATGCATGAACGTAAAGTTTGTAACTTTACGTGTATTATGGACCCTAGGAGGTCAAATTTATGGTTTAAATGCTTTGAGACCCACTAAAATCGAATGTATAGTTTTGGACAAAGAGGGACTCGGCGAGTCGTTCATGGGACTCGGCGGTCCGGGTCATATTTCCCATCAAATCCTTCTGTTGATGGACCAGATGCTAAGATAGAAGAACACTCAGTTTTCTAGGCTCATTAGGGACCTGGAAATCATGGAACTCCGCGAGTGTATGAGCGGACTCGACGAGTTCAAGGCAATGTCCCAACCACATGAACACGGACTCGACGAGTTCAAGGGGAACTCAGCGAGTCATAGACTGAACTCCTTCATATGGATGAAGATGAACTCGACGAGTTCAAGGATGAACTCGGCGAGTCGGTTGAAGAAGGTCCGATGTGTTGTTGAAGGTGAACTCGTCGAGCTCTTGCTATACTGGACGAGTAGGGACGAAGTTGTAACTTTTCGTGGACGAGGGGACTCGACGAGTTGGTGAACCAACTCGGCGAGTCTAGTCAACCAGATGTTGACTTTGACCAAAGTTGACTTTGACCAGGGATTTGACCTTGACTTTGACTTGGAATTTAGTGACCATTGTAAGGGTTATGAGTATGAAATGGTAATGTAGAAAGGATGTTGTGTATGGATTGAGGAGTCGAGAAGAGTCGATTTTCACACCGAGGACAGTGCAGACACTACACGACATCGAGGTGAGTTACCTTCTAGTAGAGGTGGGTCTACAGCCACAATGTCGGCCCACCAGCAGGAGTTATCTTTAGATGATTGTCTTTGTGATAATTGTCTAGGTTTGCTACTACCTGATGCGTCTTATGTGTCAGTATGATATGTTATATGCGATAGTGGTAGTAGGAGGGGTAATAGTCCCCCGATTCGGTTGTTAGGACCGAAGGGTAGGTCGGACACCCCAGATATGTCTGACAGCTTGATTATGATATGTTATTATGTGATAGTGGTAGGGATGAAACAGTCCCCGTGGCCGGTTGAGATAGACCGGTGGGTAGGCAGGCACCCCAGAATGGCCTGACACGGGTAGGTCAGCACCCTAAAATGGCTTGACATGGGTAGGTCAGCACCCCAGAATGGTTTGACATGGGAAGGTCGGGCACCCCAGAATTGCCCGGCAGTATGTATGATTGTATGGTATGTGGTATGATGGGGGAACTCACTAAGCTTTGTGCTTACGGTTTTCAGTTTTGGTTCCAGGTACCTCTTCGTCGAAAGGGGAAGGAGCCGGCAGGGTAGCAGCGCATCGCACACACATGATTCCGCATTTGAGATTTCTGAGATTGTACTCTGACATTATTACTATTTGATGATATGGTTTTGAGACATGTAACTATGGTTTATGAATTCATATGATATCAGTAATGTTTTCCTCAAACAAAATTTATAAGCAATATAATTAAAGCAAAAAATTTTGGTCTCGATTTTTGGGATGTTACAAGTTGGTATCAGAGCCTTGGTTTGAGGGATTCGGGCACACCTCCGGGGGGTGTCTGGACTCAAATCGAGGGCTTGAAAGATTTTTACAAGAAAAATAGTTTTCTAAAATTTAAAAAATAAGGAGTTTTGAGAAAGAACAAGGTGTGTGATGTGTGCGACCGGCCGAGCTCAAGTAAGTTTTTTCCCCAAGATACTCATACATGATATGTTATGTTATATGATATGATTATGAGAACTGCATGCTAGACTAGGGCTAAGGATCTAGGGAGGATGCCTTGTATGCCTGTTATGTGATTATGAGAACTGCATGCTAGATTAGGGCTAAGGATCTAGGAAGGATGCCTTATATGCCTATTGTATGAGCTTATTGAGCTATATGCTAGGGCTGGTTAGTCAGCAGTATGATAGCCTGATTAGGTTATGCTTGGTTATGGTTACTCAATCCCAAATGTTGCTTGCTTTGTACTTATAGGGGTTCTAGCTAGCTTTAACTAACTAGTAAGCAAATATGTAATAGTATTCGCAAGCTAGTTAAGGAAGGGTGGTAGGGACTCCTTGTGCAGCTGATGGCGGAGAGTAGGTCGGAGAGTATCCTAGGACAAGCCTAGGATGAGATTAGCTTGGAAAGCAGTATTAATATAAGGGACTTGGTGAAGTCGAAGCCATCCCTGAGGAAAGTATGGATAAATGTGGAAGGTAGTATGGGCCTATACTACTGGAAGCAGAGGATCTGTACTGGAATCAGGGAGGGCTAAGAAAGAACCAGGGAACTTGGAGAGTGTGAGAGACCTCTCGAGAGTATGTATGATCTTGACGCTTATGTGTTTTATTTCAGTATGGCGATTACGCGACATGGAGCGGGAGGTTTAGGGTCTGGATCAGGATCAGGATCAGGCTCGGGTGCGGGATCCGAGCAAGTTGATGATGGGCTACACGACTTCAGCCTAGAGAGCCTCATCATCGAGGATGCTCTTGGGAAGTTATCCTCATTTTCCTAAGCTGTAAGTATTCTGCGGATAGGCATTATTTATGTTAATCTATCATACTTGTTCCTTCTCATGTTGATGTTTACGTTTCTTCCAGGTTTCCGCTCACGTTTCCCATGTTACCAACGATCTCAGGGTCCGTGTCGATAAAGTCGAGCTTGTCCTAAAAGAGAAAGAGAAGACATAAAGGGCCACCAATGAGGATCTTCTCCAAAGGGTGGAGTTGTTGAGAAAACAGAAAGTCGAAAAGGAGGAAGAGCTTCTCGCGGATCTCGAGGAGGTGATCGCTGACGCAAACTTCCTTCTCTTTTGGTGTATTGGTCTGAGGAGGTGATCGCTGACCACGTTAGCCAGCCATCTTGGTAACTTTACTTCCTTGATCATTCCTGTCTTGAGGAGATTTTCTACATCTTCTTGGATGATCTGATTCCTTTCAGGTGCAAACTTCCTTCTCTTTTGGTGTATTGGTCTGAAAGAAGGGTTAATATTAAGTTTGTGAGTTATAATACTCTTGTCTATACCTATCATATCTTCGTGTTTCCATGCGAATGTTTTGCTTCTGGTTCTTAGGAATTTTAACAGATTTTGCTCAATTTGCTCTGGCATTGAGGATCCTATGAAGACTTTAGCTTCAGGATCCTCAATGCCCAGGGTCACTTCCTTCAGATCTTGTTCCTTCGTTTCCAGGACATGTTGTGCCACTGCCTTAATTGTTATGCTTGTTGAGGTTTGGTCATAGATTTCATAGAGGTTTTATAACATTCTTTTGATTCTTGTTGATCTCCCATGATCTTCACTGTTCCCCATGGAGTAGGCAATTTTACACAATGATGATATGTTGATGGAACCGTTTTCATCTCGTGGATCCATGGTCTACCGAGTATCACATTATAAGAAGTTAAGGTGTCAATAACTCAGATTTTGTGTAGAGTTTACCCCCTCTATGTATATTGGTAGCTTTATTTCCCCAATCGTGTGTTTCGTTTCCCCGCTAAATCCTCTGAGGACCGAGGATCTCTTGATTATTTCTGCTTCTGGGATGTTCATCCTTTTTAGTGCGTCTAGGAGTATGATGTTGACTGAGGATCCTCCGTCAACAAGGATCCTCCTCACGAAATGGTTGGCCATATACAGTGTTATCACGAGTCCGTCATGGTGAGGATCTTGCATCCCTTCCCTGTACGTCTCGTCAAATGTGATTTCTTTTTCACTGCTAACCATGGTATTCTTCCGTGGTCTATCTTCCTTTTCTGTTTTGGAGACCTTAGCATGTCTTTTAGCCTGGGAATAAGAAGTACCATAGATATTAGATCCGCCTGAGATAACGTTAATTATCTTAGCGTCGGAGGGTGGAGATCTTGGTTTCTCTGGGATCCTATGACCAACCTGGCTGTTCTCCTTGGATTTTTCTCTTTTTCTCCCGAGAATCTCTTTGAGGTGTCCCTTACTATGGAGGTAGCTTATTTGTAACACCCATAAATTTCAAGCCAATTTAAAACTTTTCAAAAATTAAAAACCAACAGTTATTACAGATTTGTTTTCAAAATAGTCTATATCAGAGTTTTCCCAGAAACATAAACAAAACATGAGGAGTTGTACGATCATGCCTTCGCCTTGCCGCGATCCCCTGATGTACCTGAAACAATAAACTGAAATTGTAAGCCTGATAGCTTAGTGAGTTTCCCCCAAAATACCAACTCATATAACCTAAATCATGGCATATCAACAAATACAGAACAACATGCATAATGAGCCTTCAGCCTGACTGGACCGCCTTGCAGGGCCTTCAGCCTATCTGGACCGCTCCCCAGCCTTCGACATGACTGGACCACCTCGCAGGGCCTTCAGTCTATCCGTACCGCTCACCGGGTATGTTGGCCTTCAGCACAAAGCAGGACCGCCTCAACCCAACCCCCAATCAACAAACATGTGCACATAAATATCATATACTAGCCCATATCATATAACAGTCAAACCGATCTATCGGATCACTAATCATAGCAACATCCCACTAACCGGGATACAGACCTAACTGGTCACTAACATAGCATCATCCAATGACCAGGACACTAACCTAACCAGGCCACTAAGCATAAGCATATCACCATCCTAACTACCAGGATGTAATCAATAAACATATCATGCCATAAATGGATACAATCCATAAAGGGTTGGCATTTGTGCCTTAGACCCATTGATATAGTGAGGATAACTCACCTCACACTGTCGACTCGAAGATGAACTCAAGCTCTCGGATTTCTGGTACAAACTCCACCACCTATACCCACTATAGAACCATGCTTGTAAATTTCTAATTTCCCAAAATGTCCCCAGAAGTCAACTGGTCAACCCTTGGTCAAAGTCAGAGTCATCGGTCAAGGTCAACAGTCCGTGTTGACCTCAACTCGTCGAGTACCCTCAGCTACTCACCGAGTTCCTTGCATAACTCGCCAACTCGCCGAGTCACTAGAGTGACTCGTCGAGTTCCTAAGGTTTGTGGTCGTAAACTCCTTGGCCGACTCGTCGAGTTTCCCTTGCAACTCGCCAAGTTCATACATGTCCAAAGGTTGGGAAAACCCTAGCCGACTCGTCGAGTCACTCATCTGACTCGCCGAGCCCACGACAATCTTCATCGGACTCGTCGAGTTGACCATGCAACTCGTTGAGTCCCTTCAGTCCTTCATCCATACAGATGCTTTTTAAGCCATGCTAAGGCTCCAAATAGTAGATCCAGCTTCCCAAGGCATGTTTATCACATAAATTTGCAAACTTTACGTGCATGCAAAGTTCTAAAGTCTTAAAATGACAAAACCAAGCTTGTAAAGAAGTCTCACACTTGAGGGAAGGTTCATACTTGTCAAAGCTGGCACTTTATGGACCTAGAGACCCAAGAGAGTTCAGATTTGAAGTTGCAACTTCAGATCTTAGCTCAAACACAAGAAAAGCTTCCTAATATCCACCCAAAAGAGGTCTAGAATGAAATGAGGCCAAGATAACAGCTTAATACCTTCCAAAGGATGCTAACTGAGGTAGATCTCTGATTCCCACGCGTTCCTTACTTCTAGTTACTGGTTCCCCAAGCTTTTCTCACCAAAAACCCTTCTTCAATGCTTAAGACACACAAATGGAGCACACTCACACGAGTTAGGGCTATGGGGTATCAAGAGGCTGTGAAGGGGAGGCTGGGGAGGCCAATGATCCTTTAAATAGGGTGCAAAACCCCAGAAATTAGCGTTTCATCCTCCAGCTCCTACTCGTCGAGCCCCTCCTTGGACTCGGTGAGTAGGTCACTTAAACACGTGGACCAACCCGCTGCTACTCGACGAGTCGGGAAACCAACTCGTCGAGTAGGCTTTGAAATCAAAAAAAAAATTATATCAAAAATCAATACCTACGAGTCGGGGCGTTACATTTGTAGGATCTTAGGGTTGAGGATTCGGCCTTCATCCTCGAGGGCATTGACCCTGTGATCATCCGGTTTGGAATATGGCTTCGATTTGTAGGATCTTGGGGTTGAGGATTCGGCCTTCATGTTGGGGTTCTCATATCGACTTGAAGGGTTGCTTCTCTTCTGTATTTCTTTGTCCTCTTCAAGCCTTATGAACCTTAACGCTCGCCACCTGACTTCATCCAGTCTTTTGCATGGGGTCATCACAAGGTCTTCGTAGAAGGGTGAATCCTTCCTTAGTCCCATCTTGAAGGCCTCTACAGCAGTAGCCATGTCGATGTTGGGGATGCTCAGAGCTTCCCTGCCGAACCTGTTAACAAAATCCCTAAGTCTTTCCTGAGGATCCTGGACCACTCGATAGAGATCACTAGTGATCTTCTCAAAGGTTCTGCTACAAGAAAATTGGTTATTGAAAATATTGACTAAGTGTGCAAAAGAAGTAATAGAGTATGGGGGAACGTTTAGCAGCCATTTGAGAGCTGATCTTGTAAAGGTTGAGCCAAAGCCTTTGCATAGGCAAGCTTCCTTCAAGTACTCTGGGATGGGAATGATCTCCATCCTTTCTCGGTATTGCGCTACGTGCTCTTCAGGATCCGTAGTTTCATCGTAAAGCTTCATGCTTGGAGTTTGGAAGCGCTTAGGAACTTCGGTTTTGGATGCTTTTTAAACAAAATTGTTTGACTAAGACGTGAAGATCGATGATGATGTTATGATCGATTATGATTATGTGATATTGAAGATTTGAGATTGCTGATGATTGATGAACTTGAAGATCTGAGAAAACAGATCGTGATTTTAGGAAGTAAATTTCTTTTTTTATAATTTAATTAATAACCAAAATTACTTATTTGCGTTTTTTATTTAATTAATTATTTTATTTCCAATCTAAATATTTAAGAGAAATGAGTGGCTTATATTTGTTCTCGTGTTCTCGATTTTATAATTGTTCTTGTTTGAACCTAAGTTTGTATATACTCCTAGAAAGTCTCATGTTTTATGAACTCTCTCGGCGGTTTCTCTCTCCCAAACTATAAAAACACTTTTCAAGCGGTTAATCTAAAACCATTTTGATCAAAATGGTGAAATCAGGCAAGATCAATCCACCCTCTTCATGAAAAGCACATGAAGGATCCACATCAAAAGTCAAGAAAACTCGTCCGACTATTGATTCAAGAAATTATAAGACGGATTTAGATTCATCGTAATATAACGAATCATTGCAATCATGGTTAAAGTTCTTAAATGTCATCCTCTTTTTGGCCCCTTCACTGCCTCAACAAATAGGATCCCGCTCAATCTCTTGTTCAAATGTGTATTTATAGGATACGGTATCAAGGAGAATTAGACGAAGTATGGATTAAGCTTTCCAATGATTCTTAAACAATCAAGCTCTCTGAAGTGGTGTATGAGAAACCCCCCAACGAATAAAAAGGTACACTTTCACCAACGAATGGGAAGAGGTGCTCAAAAGAATCCAAAAAGAAAGCAATACCTTATCAACAAAAAATGTTACAACTAATGATTTAACAAAATATAGAAAAAACGAACCCTTAAGACTTTCTGAAATCATCCCAAAATGAAAACAAATTTGATATCAACTATCGAGAGGTTTGATCTTGTTTGCAGAATCAATTATGGTTGTGTTCATCTCAGGGTTTTTGACATTTAATAATTTCTTGAGTTTACTATAAGCCTCGGGTGAAGAATCAAAATCCGTGGGACCCGAACCCTCTGAGTTGAGAGCAAATATGACTTCATTCACATCCTCTTCAAGCTGAAGGGAGAAAAGTTTTCCAAACACCTGAAATCAGATAAAGAGATATTTAAAAAAATAATAACAAAAAAAGTATCACAAATTTGTAAAATGATCATTATAGGTTCTTAGTTCTTACCACTTTCATTCTTGACACTACCATTTCCTTGACAGCTGGCGATCGAGATACAAGGTTAATAACAAAAAGACCTTCCTTTGATAATGAATTTTTAACAGTTGAGAGAAAAGACTCTTCAATAAAGTCTGCAGCAGGACACGTCATCCCAGAGCTACACAAAATATAAAAAAAAAAGAGTTAGAATTTATAAAATTACAGAAAGTGACTTTTTGACAAAAAAGAGGGATGTCAGTAGGACAAAATTTGCAATTTTTTTGTTGTATTTAAAAAGGTGGAACAAGATGGGAGAGAGACTGGCTCTTGGTTTATTGTTTGTGTAAAAGACGAAAATGCCCTTGTGATGTAATAAATGGTTAAAGAGGTAAACCTAGAGTCTGGGGAGTCGACATCTACTATGAGTATGTCGAGTTTATTGATGATGCCTTCATTTTCTGTTTTAGTGGTGGCAGAGGCAACATCTTCTATGAATTTTATCCCATCGGTGATGTGTACCTGACATGCAAAATGACCATTTTACCCTTTTTGTTTGGAATTAGTGTTGGATGAAAAATGAATGTTTTGGATGTAACTCCTAATTATCAATTTATGAAATGATGAAATAAAGAATACTTCACACTAACAATACTAATATCTGATACAAAAATTATGAATACTTGAATAGAGAAAGTATTTAGGGTTATTTCCAAAAAAGACCCTAAATTTTGACTTTTTTCTTTTGAGACCTAAAACTTTTTTTCTTTTTCAACTCCATTGATGAAATATAAAGGAATAGGTTAAAATTGGGTTTTTAAATAAGCAAAATACCAACTAATAAGCACTTTCACACATACACACAAAAAAAAACACACACACACACACACACACAAGTTGTTTTTAAATAAGCAAAATACCAAACACCCCAGTGTGAGTCATTATAAAATATTATATAATCCTTATAAACTTAATATGTCATAAATAAAATATATTAAATATTTTAAAGAAAATAATTACTAAAGAAATAACAAATACCAAAAGGCTTTTTGGCCTAGTGACTTTTGTGCTATTTTCCCTAAAAAACTCCCATTGAAGATAAGATGTTCTAACTACATGGATTTTTAAATATTTGAGATAAATATTATGTACCTCTATACATGAATGATTATAAATTTATAAATGATGGGATACTTAAATGAAAAGCACTTTAGAAATCGAGGGCAAATTCGTCAATTACCTTAAGGTGTTCATCTTCCATAAAACCAAAATAATCCTTAGCAAGTTCCACAACTACTGGATCCAACTCAACTGCCTGAACAAGTAAGCACAAGTAAGCAAGTAAGTGAAGATTAAATTTCTAATCCTTTTTTTTTAAATAATAAATTTGGCATTTAAACCTTAAAAAAAATTACCTCAACTTTTAAAAATGGAATGCATCCATAAAGAAACATAGGAAGTAGCCCAGCACCAAGACCAATTACAACTGCCCTAACCTGAAAAAGTATTTATTTATTTATTTTACTCCAATTCCAAATTTAAAATAAAATAAATAAAATAAAAAAGATTGTAAAATTTCTCACTGTTGTTCCAGATAATGCCATTTTTTCAAGGTATGAAGAGATGAGCATAAATCCAGATATAATTCCAGAATGATAAGAACTTGCTAAATATCCATGATCAACATTTTGATAATTGCTTGAATCTATTATTATTTATTACATAAAAAAACCAAAGTAAATCATTTAAGTAAAGGAATTGATATAAAAAGAATGGACTTATGGACACCAACCATTTCTTTTTTGGGTTCCTTTTTTCTTTGATTTTGAAGATGAGCTGGATTTTTTATTTCTTTTTTCATTTACATTTTTTTCAGATGTTTCATCAATTAGGGAAAGCAATGCTTCAGATTGTATCAAGCCTTCTGATCTTTCAAAAGTTAGCCTACGAAATACAAGGTCTTTGGAGAGAGAAAGTTGACCGAGTTGACCATCAACTTTTTCATATATGACATCATCAATGACTATTTGACCAGTCAATGGTGATGTCACCTATAAAACAAAACCAAGAATCATTCATGGCTTATAAAACGATATCATTTTTACCAAAAAAATATTAATAATAATATAATTTTAGAGCAATAAATGAGATCAAAAACCTGGTGAACAACTTTTCTCTGTTTGATCCCATCACTTGCTGCCATAAATCTGTACAAATGTTTGAATATGGAAAAATATTATTAATTTATTATGAGTATCATAAAAAAAATAGTTCAATGGCTAAAATTAATGAAATGGTGAAAATACATTGAACCTTTTACAAAAATAGTTGGTTTTTAAAGGTCAAAAAGCATAATAGTTTAATAATTACTGAAAATAGTTAGGTGGCTAAATAGATAAAATGGTAAAACTACCTTTTTTTTTTGTATTTTGTCTTTTTTAATCATTAAAAGTTTGTGCTTTTTTTTTAAATATTAAAAGAACATACGGAATTTGAGCTCCATCCTCAATCTTGGAAGGTGCTAATTGTCTAACAAGAGGAGAAAGATCCTTCTGAAAAATGAAAAAAAGAAAAACATAATCCAATTTAGTTTGTAAATAATCGACACATGTCACATTTATTATGCCTCTAATATTAATAATAAAACAAAAAATTTCACCTGTATATCCTCACTACTGATACCCGTATGGCTGGCATCCAGGAAAACCTAAAATGAATTAAATTATGCATAAATATAATGATTAAAAAATTTAAAATTTATATGCTAAAAAAGTTATTAAAGATTTATATATATATGAAAGTAGGTTACCATTATGAGACGAGCTGACTTTGAACTCTCAACAACCATCCATTGTCCTTCTTCTGAAGAGAAGAGCCATTCATGAGCCCGAGTCTGAAATCTATAATTTAGTTACACAATTTATAAAAATGAAAACTAAAATAAACTACACCAACATTACATACTTTTTATAAAAAAAAGTTCAGAAAGAAAAATGGTAAAAAGATCAAGGGCTAAATGCAAGAAGTAGTAACATATTTTCATTTAATTGAGCATTATAGCATTCCTAATTCCTTTTTTTACTATTACTGAATCGTAGATTCGGTTTTTTTTCTTATTAAGACATTGTACTTTAAAAAAATCTAGGGATAACACATTCTATTCATCCAACCAAACACACATGCCTTAAATATGTGTTTCCATATAAATATACAAAATGGAAGTGAGTTAAATGACAAAACTAACCTTGGGTACAAGAAAAACCCCACAATGATATAAGAACTCCTCAGAATTTTGCTGAGCATCAAGAAGTACACTTTTATAGCAAAAACGGGATTGACCAGGTTCACCCAAAGTCAACTGTACCCTTTGACCAGGATTAAGCTCTGATAAATCCCCTTTGACTCCAATTTTTAGGTCTTCAAGTGAATACACTAAATCATTACCACTTGAGCATTTTGTTCGGATATTATTCTCAGTTTGAAGTGCTTCCAAAACTCCTTTAGCCTAAAAAATATGTCAAGAATGTAACAAAATTACTCAAATGCCCCCGTAGAAATAGAATGATAAAGATGAGAGATATATGTACCTGATCACCGCTATCAAGGGTATTGTGGTCAAAAGACGTTGATATTGTCTGTAATGTTGTGGGACTTGCTTTCTCAGCTACCACCATAAAGGTTTTCAATTTTGACTTTTTAGATTGTTTTTGAGGGAGTATATGAATGCTGATTTTCCATCCATATCTGAATTTAGGAAAAAACATGCCTGAAAAGAAATAGGGAAAAGAATGAATCTTTAAAATATCAACAAAGTGATAGCAGCATCTGATTGGTAGAGTGGAATGGAATGAATCAGACAATCAGTACCTAATACATGTGATTCTCCAAGGGTTAGACAAATAAACTTTCCCCCTTCTTTCAGAACTCTCTTTACCTGGTAATACAAAACCCAAGTGTTCATTATAAGTGAAGTAAAACAGTAGTTGAAAATTATACTCAAAATTGACTACAAAATACCTCTGATACATATTGATTCCCTAGCACAGGGCCAAGCTCAGGCTCCATTAAAGCATCTAATCCACCCTTATCAAGAACAGCATCAAACGACTTATCTGCAAACTGGAAAGCAACAACAATCAGTTGATAAAAATGAAATCAAGTGAAATTTGGAAAGAAAATGAAAAGTACCTGCATACTAGTCATATCCATGACCCTCCATCGCATACAAGGACGAGAACGCACGTTTCGCTTCAACATATCCCCAATCACAACTTTAGAGAAATCAATATTGGTGATACACTGAAATCCGGCGTCGTATAATTGTTCAGAAAGCCTAGAGTTGCCGCAACCAGGTACAAGAACTTGAACATCCGATTTCGATGTTTCGCCATTGATTTCATGTAGTGAGGAAAACTGCAGCTGGGAAAGAAGGAGGTCACGGAGCTGAGGCCACTCGGCGTACCATTCAAAAGGGTCATCTTTGCCTTTGATACTGAAAAATTTATCCCAATTTTCTTTGCTGGTGAAGTCTTCGAGGGTGCTCAGAAGGTCTGCTTCTGCTTTTTGAGCTTTCTTCTGCTTCCCCATGTCTCTCGACTGTGAGTGTAGTATGTGTGCTCTGGTTCTTTGAAACCTGGTTTCAAGGTCTCTGAAGGGTTTTAGTCTTTGGGCCTTTTGTTCGACCCGTTTGTCTTTTGTTGTTTGGACCGGGTACAGTCCAATTTAGAAATGGTTTATAATAGGGATGAGCTTTGGAATCGGACCGGTTCGGAATCGGAACCGGTTTTCCTATATTATAAGAACCGGGAACCGGACCGCCGGTTCTAGCGCCGGTTCCGGTTCCGGTCCTGGTTTTTCGGCTATTTTTCAAAATAGAACCGGTTGAATACTATAGATTATATGCTATCTTCTAGAGCTTGTAAATGATTTAATATTTAACCAAATTATGACTTTTTACATTCTAAATTGAAGTACAAACACTAAATTACATGATGAAAAAAGAATCAAGTAATTCCGACTTCATATGAGTGAGTTATACGCATTTTAAAAGCGGGGACAGATTCCAAAAAAATAAAAAATGCCGAAACAGAAAAAACGCAGCATTGATATGTTGTCTTCCGGGGTCTATAACTGATTCAATATCTAACCAAAATATGTGTTTTTATAGTCTAAAATGAACTACAAACACCAAATTACATGCTGGAAAAAAAATTAAGTAATTCCGACGTCATATGAATGAGTTATACACATTTGAAAAATGAGACATATTCAAAAAAACAAAAAAATAATGTTGAAATAAAAAAACGCAACCTCGATATGCTTTCTTTCGGGGCATGTGTCTGATTCCATATCTAACAAAAACATATGTTTGTACCGTCAAAAATGAATTACAAACTCCAAATTACATGTTGGAAAAAAAAATCAAATAATTTCGACTTCATATGAGCGAGTTATATGCATTTTAAAAAATGAAAAAAATGTCAAACCGGTTCCGGTTTTTAGAACCGGGACCGGTTTTCATAAAAATGGAAAACCGGTAACCGGACCTATTACCAATTCCGGTTCCGGTTCCGGTTCGTTTCCGGTCCAGTTCCGGTTCCGGCGGTTCTAATGTTCATCCCTAGTTTATAACATTACATAATTTGTTAAACGTAATTGAAACGAAACACGCATAAGAAATTCTAATAATTATAAACATTGTCGATATAAATATATAATATGGGTGTTGTTGGCATGTGGTGGTGTTATATATTAGTATATAATAAACTCATTAAACAATACTAATCTCCCTAACTAATAAACGAAAGTAAATTGTCACGTGTCCCTTCAAAAACACTAATTTCGTCCAATGTTAAATACCGTTTTTGCCCCTCTTTGATTTCACCTTCTATAATGTCCAAGTCAAAATAAAACAGCATTTAATATCCGATTTTTATGGTATTTATGGTATATGATATCTATTTAAATTTCAAAATAAATCAGCATTTAATATCCGATTTTTATGGTATTTATGGTATATGATCTCTATTTAAATTTAATTTGATACGTTTGAAATAGATACCCGATTCAGTCCTCCAATTTTAAATAATCAATACAAAAAGTTTTAAACAAACTTAACTCTTATTAATAATATAAATGTTTTATAAATTTTTGACAAAACTGCAAAAATGGTCCCTATGGTATGCAATTTTTTGTGGTTTTAGTCCAAACCATGACTTTTTTGGATTGGTGGTCCTTTTGAGGTATTTTGGTTGTGGTTTTAGTCCCTTGCTAAACTGAAATGACTAATATGCCCTCCTGATATTTTTTTAATATTTTTTTCTATTTAATTTAATGTTTTATTAAATTAAAATATAGGGCTCTCTCTCTCTCTCTCTCTCTCTCTCTCTCTCTCTCTCTCTCTCCTTTGATTGTGTTCTTCCTCAAAAACATATATAGAATCTGATGAATGATTATTTTGCTCCTAAGAGAGAACATACATACACAATCAAGAACGTATATGTATACACACATATAATCGAGAACATACAATCCCTTCCCCTTGTTCTTCCTCCTTGCAACCCAAACCCACCAACAACGATTTCATTACCCCTTGTTCTTCCTCATTGCCAACAACCCTTATTCTTCAAACTTTTCCTGCAATTATCGATTCTTAACAGAGGCATACAAAAACGAGCATAACCTATGTTTTGGAATCCTTTCTTTTACCCAAAATCAATACATATAACATTTTATCAACATATGTTTAAGCCAAATCCAAATCGAACAATAGCAGCAATAGATATAAAATTGAGAATCAGAATCATAAGAATTAAGAGAAGAAAAGATATAGAACCTGATGAATCGGAGGGTACATTAAGTTTGTACATACAGATCAATGGCGTACAACTAATGGAATTTCAAATCGCTAGATACAACAAAACACATAATCATGAACGAATCATGAAATCACGATCGAAGATATAAGAGTTACTGGATACATATGTGAGATACCTGGGGGAAAGCAGAGCTCTTAGCACAAACACTACCGTCGACACCAATGATGGCTGCGGAGATGAGATGGTGACCAGTACCTTCAATATCACACAGCAAATGATCATCTAGATTGCCACGACATTTTTGAAGGAAAAAACATTGAAACACACTCAATGCTATCGTAATCCATGGTACCAAATTTTAAGAAACAGAAACAATACCCACAAAGAGAGGATCAAATTTTAATGAAATTTGTTAGGGTTTTGCCTCTTTTTGTTCAAAATCGGTCTTTTCCTCATTGTTTCTAGTTAAAGATGAAGATACGAAGGGGAAGGGAATGAAAGAGAAACAGGAGTTAGGTCTTTCACTTCCTTTTCCAATTTTTTGTTATTTTGCAATCTTGAATTTTGATGTGTGAGAGAGAGAGAGAGAGAGATTTTTATTTTATTAATTATTAAAATAAATAAATTAGTATTAGATGACAAAATTGCAAAAATGGTCCCTGTGCTATGCATTTTTTTGGGGTTTTAGTCCAAACCTCGACTTTTTTGGATTGGTGGTCCTTTTGAGCTAGTTTACATGCAGGTTTAGTATGGGTAAAAGAAATATCTTTATCCATAAATTTTCTTCATCGTTTATGTAAATTTTTTGGTTTTTTGGTTCATGTTGTAGATTCTCATATCGATTTTGAGGGTATGAACACATAAGTTTTAGGTTTTTGGGTTTAATTTTGAAGTTTCTCAGAGCCTACACAAAAATGGTTTTTTATGTTTATGGAACTATGTTTGATTAAGAACATCTGAACATATGATTTTGAGCTTCATGTGTCTGATTTTGAAGTTGTGCAAGTATGTTTTAGAAGATAGTGGGTTAGAGAGAGAGAGAGAGAGAGAGAGATGCGGACCCAAATTAGTTATTTATTTTATTTTTTCTTTAAATTAAATAGAAAAAATATAAAAAATATATCAGAAAGGGTATTTTAGTCTTTTCAGTTTTCCGAGGGACCAAAATTACAAACAAACATGGTCAAAAGGACCATCAATCCAAAAAAGTCGAGGTTTGGACTAAAACCCCAAAAAAATGATACCACAGGGACCATTTTTGCAATTTTGTCGTATTAGATTTAAAAAGAAATGAAAGAAAAATGAAAAATAAATACCATAAGGGTATTATAGTCATTTAAATTTTGGGAGGGACTATTTTCACATACAAACTAGTCCAAAAGGACCACGAATCCAAAAAAGTCGTGGTTTGGACTAATACCCCAAAAAAATGCATACCATAGGGACCATTTTTGCAATTTTGTCTAAATTTTTTACCCGTGGTTCCTACGGGTTGTAACCTAGTTATAAATTAAATTTAACGAATTATGAAAGTGATAATAAGAATTAAGAAAACTTATACTTTATGTCGTTCGTGAGTGTTATTGGAGCCGGAAATAACTTGGTAACATTATTGTATCTAGCAAAGAATTTACTTTGTTGTTGGAGTTGAATAAAATTATTCCAGATCATTGTGGTATGGTCTATTTTACTAACTTCCTCAAATGGTGTGTTCGTATCATACCGGCATCGAAAGGGCATGATAACTTGATTAAATATTCTCCTATTTTTCCTTTCTATTTATATTTTTCCCACATGAAATGGTGACAAATGTCATATTTGGATAATATTAATTATATTTTATGTAACGTCTCAAAAACACCAATAAAATTTCCATTTTTAAATCATCAAATCAAAGAACCATTTGTTCCAAAACCAAACAAAGTAAATTATATTTTCCAAACATCATAGTAAATAAAAAGTAATCAATGAGGAAAAAACATCGGGGGATGTTGTGCAGTCAAGTCGGACTCTTCCCTTTGGAACTGGAAGTACCTGATAACTTTTCACCCAAACCCGTCGGCGATTATGCAAAACGGAGGCGGGGATCAGAGTTTGGGGGATGGGGATGGGTATTGCAGTATCCAAATAAAGACAACTCTTAAAATAAGAGCTACACAATTCTAGGCAAATTATTTATGAAGGTATTTTTGTCTTTCTAACTAATAAAAACAATGGTATTTTCGGACATACAAGAAATATTAAATACGATCATTCTACAATTATGAGATTTCGTTTCTCTCTCTCTCTCTCTATCTCTCTCTCTCTCATCGCCTCTGAAATTCTGATTGTGTCGACCAAGATAAACACCTACATCTACCGACGTCTCTTAAATCCCCCATATTCGATCATGAAGCCATCTTGTCCGACAAAGGTTCACATTTTACCTTCTCTTCCACCACGATTTCCGGTTCTAGGATTGTACGCAAAAATCCCACGCAACCTTAGTTATCTCTTCTTCCCACAAATTTATTTCGAATCAAAACCCATTGGAAGATCATCTGCACGCATTCAGATGGAAATTGAGCCTTAAAAATTTGGGCTTTAGTTCGAAATCGAGTACAACAGGTTATTAGTTTCACCTTTTTTTAGTTTCTTAAATTCTTACAGTTGCTCATGCATATCAGTTTGGTAGTTTGTAATAGTCTATGTTTTGTTTGGTTTGGTTTGTAGCAATATTTAACTCAGTAACGCCTACCAAGTGCTTCGATGAAATGCCTTCCATTTGGGTTGTTCTTCATTTGGTAACTAGGTGTAAGACCTGTGTATTACACTGGTTTG